TGTGTTTTGTGAGATGGAGGAAGACTTTGTAGATTAGTGTCAGACATATGGGCTAATGTTGGACTTATGGGCTTGGGCAGCACTGGGTTGGGATGCTTTCTTAATGTATACTTACCCTTTATATAAAACTCTCTCTGATACATGAGTTTCTGTGTATTTGTTTCCCTAGTTTACCCAGACTAACTCACCTGGTTTGCTTGCAATACTGGTTTAAAGCACTGCATACCTGGAACTGAAATGCAAGACACCTGTGCTGTGTCTTAGTACAACTACTACCCCCAAATCTACGTGTTGGGAAGGCCTCAAGCTCATAAGCCCCTTAAACACCCGGCCCGAGCATGCAGTGCCTCTCATTGCCCCCTTTCCTCTTGAGTTCAGTGTAGCAGGGTCTGCAGCTTAGGGACTGCTGCCTCAGTCAAAGGTAATGCTAATATACACCTGCTCTCTAAAACCATAAATGCAGATGTCAACACCCCACATCTTACTCTAAAATTACTAAATCAAGAGCTAGCTCCCCTGGCTGAAGGAGTATTACAAAATTGCTGGTGTCTAAATGTACTCTTTTTTGTCCCAAGGTGGTTTGTGTACAGCCCTTGGAAAAAGTAGTTGTTTTTAAGCTAATAAATCTGGCATGATCACTAATACATCATAACAAGTAAAAGATAATATTGGGTTAAGCCAATGAGGCATAGAGGCTCGCTCGTCAGTCTTAGCATCCATCACAATGTGACTGGATCCCATGGTTTACCTCTTCACTGACAGGAACAACTGGACTCTTTTTAACAATTGTATTACCGCTTATGTGTGTGCAACTGCCTCTTTCAGTTTGTACAGTCGGGAATCAAGCCTGCAATACTATTCACTGTTAAGCATTCCTATGACCCAGTAGGTCAGGAAGAAAGTGTTTTCTTGGCAAAGTAAGCTTGCTAAAAGCTTTTAGAAGTAACAAACGGGAGTGGGGAATGTAGTACCCCACCACGATGAACTCCAGGGTCACCATACTGCACTAATCAACCTGACTGTAGCCCTTTTGTGGTACAGGCAACTACTGTAGCTCTTTCTGTCACTGCTGGTCCATTACCATTTATTTTTGTAATTGCTGATGTTCCTTGTAAACCCGTTTTATTTTTATAAGTTCTTATTTTTCATAATAGCACGACACCACCTGCCCTGTTCCTGTTTATTCCACAGTATAAAAAACCCCTCTTAATCATTCAAGGGCTAGAGCCTATCAGGCAGTAGCCAGCAGTAAAGGTGTACTGAACTTTTGCTAATCTTGCATGTGGGTTTTGTTCCAGCCCTGCAGGAATGTAGGTGAAGGGAGAAGGCTCCAGTCAGAACCAATAACGTGCAAAGGCTCAGAGGCTGGCGAGGCTGGCTTGCGTCTAGTGGAGAGAGGAAGGTATGCCAGTAGGGGTGCCAGTTTCAACAGGTAAAATACGGGACAAGCAACTAAATGCGAATTTCAAATAAATAGGGAAAATTTTTTGGTATAAATATATCTTATATAGTACTTGGGCTATAATTATTCCCAAAAGCAAAGTAAAGCTAAGACCTATTATTGGCCAAAAGTTCCTATTAGCAGGGTATTCCATGTTTTATCTGTCAACCTGCTATCAAAAACAAAACAAACAAAAACCCCAAAGTACCTCCCTATTGCCTTTTGTCGTGTTATCTCCCCAGCACACACCCAGAATTGGTGTTCCTGTATCCTTGTATTCAGGTCATGAAAACCCCCACAGTTAGTTTCTCCAAAGAGCCAGGCCCCACTGGCTGGCAGGGAGAATCGAATACATCTGGAACTTTGGTCTAGAGGTATGGCTAACCTTGAAAGGAAATATTAACTTGTTGTTTTGCAATAAGAGGATGACTTGACTTTTTGTACAACACAGGGGAGTGGCTAATTGGACTGAGTCTCTGGGAGGGGAAGGATTGATTTAAATTGTGGAAACAGTTCATAAGGACCAGAGCTGGTGAGTTGGTGAGTGAAGCCGGGAGCAGACCTTTGTGCGGTGAGTACTGATGTTATCCACCTTCACAGGGTATTCCCCGGCCTCACCTGTGGAGGACTGGAGGAAGACTTTAAAAGGTGTCCTTAGAACAGGTGAGATCTTGTTTTGTGGTCTCATTGGGCTTGTTTGGCGTGGGTAAGTGAGTGTGAGACTTGTTTGTCCAGTTGCTGAAGGAGCTCTGCAGAAATGTGCTTAGAGAACAAGGACATGAGAAAAATGAGTGACATGAGAGGAAAAAAAGGAATGCTTTCCTTTCAGATTGTGTGAGAATTCTGGGGCCTGAGGGCTGGTAGGTGTTTACTGATAGTAGCTTTTCCAGTAGCACGGACTCAGCGTTAACAGAAGTCGACCTGTAATTGCTATTCTTTTAAAGTGGGCAAGCTGGCCAGCAAGAGGGACAGGAATCCAGCTGGACCGTGCCTCTGCTTGCGTCTTACACCTCCCACTCCTCCTGAGCCAAAGCGACTAATGCCTGCCCCCACGCAGTCCTAATTTATGCCCAGGTGGAGACACCGCAGAGAGCGCTGCTGGCCTGGTGGGCTACCCAGAGCTGCGGGCATGCGTCGTCCCTCTGAACCCACCAGCATTCTCCGGAAGAACGACGAGGCTTTCCACTCCCGGAAAGATTCAAGGTCTCAGAGACCCAAGGGAGGCAATTCTACCCTGTCCTGTAGGGTGGCGATGAGTTGACAGGGACTAAACGGCAGTCCATTTGGTTTGGTTTTGGGTGGAATCTGCCTATATTAGCTCTTCCCTCAATAGGAGATAAGCCGCCCTGGGTTACATGCTGGGCTTCCATGAGTCAGAATTGAATCTATGGGTTTATGAGAGATAGTCTATAAGATGGTGCCAAGTGCGGGCGCCCTTGGCTGTGCACTATTTCTGGAATGGTGCTGTGTCCTGGCAGTTAAGCCAGATTTCTAGTAAAGAACTGTCTGAATATTCAAGAGGAATCTAAATATATAGCATGTTACTTGTGCAACGCGAGAGTAACGGCATTGACTCCATGAACAACATGCCCTTCACTTGAATTGTCATTTTCCCAGTTCAGCCAGTATTTCCTAATCCTCTCCATCTGCCAGGTTAAACATTCCCTGGCTTATGATGTTCTTTCTGCATCTCTCTGGCTCCGTCCTAACCCGTGTCCTCAGTGGCACTGTACCAGTGGTTTGTGTCAATAGTGGGAGATCGGGTCTGATCATCACACCGCAGCTGCATGGTGTCATTTGATGTTTCTAACGTAGTCCTTTTCCTACACCAAGTTCAAACGAGGGGGTGGCATAGCAGTCTGAGAGTCTGACTGTATCTGGCGGTGCCCTCACATCACGCCTACCACGTTGAGAGAGAACATGCCACCGCTCTGTACCCCACGAGCCCACCCGTTAGTTTGGACACAGATGTGTACATAAGTAGCTATAGACCCCTATGTGGGCTGTGACAATTCCAAATAAAGATGTACTCTTGTCAAAATTAAACAAGCCCTGAGAAGCCTGCACAATGCTCCAAGACTTCTGGATATCTGATCATTACGTATTCCTCGGCAAGCCAGGCTCATCAATCCCTTGGGAATGCCCCTTATTGCTTCCCCAGGACGTCACCCACTTTAAAGTAACCGACAATGGAGGTTTACCTGAAAACGTATTTTTCCCAAGACCCGAGTCTCTCGGTTTTTGCATATTCCATGTGGCCTGGCCCTCTGCCCTATTGTATAACCTCCAACAATCAGGTACTGTATCATCTTCAAAAAACATTAGCTGCCCACTCCTCTAGCACAAGGCTGCCAAGGGCACAGAAGCAGAACCTGCGTTGTGATCATCTCAGCAGTTGCTCTGAACTGCCTGCCCCTTTGCAAATGTCCCTGTCGTCCTCTCTCTCCTACTCTTAATAAATTCTCCAAGTTGGCCTCTTTTCAACACTACCCTAGGAATGGAATTGCTCACCAACAGCAGTACTTTGCACTAATCCGTGTCCTGGGCTGTGAATCTCAGTGGCTTGGCCATCGCACAATGAGGGCATTATTCTCCTTTGTGTAAGCGGACACAGCCATCCTCTATTTTTTGGAACACCAATTTTCACGGACTCATCTGGTCTTTGGAATGTAGCCATATTGATAATTGCAGATTGAATATACACCATGTCAAAAACACTGGGCCAGGAGCATGAGTAGGATGTTCACATCGGCTCTGCCAGCAGAGTCTCCTCTCACGAGCACTAGTACTGGGTCCGAAGGGGGAACATGAGAAGATTTGGCTGCATTTCACAATGGTGACCACTGATAGGTGAGATTTGGGGCAAGGAAGACCTTGGTGGGACTCTTCCAATCTGCCATGAAGAAGCCACACACTCCAACCTTCTGTGTGGTTGGTCATGTTCAAACATGCATCCTAAAGTGCATTATTGTCTCCTTCCTTCTTCCACTCATTCTTTCACTCAGGTGGAGAGAAAACCAGACCTCTGCTACCATGGCAGCAAAGCCCAAGCTTCATTACTTCGATGGACGAGGCCGAATGGAGTCCACTCGCTGGCTCTTGGCTGCAGCTGGAGTTGAGGTAGGTTCTGAGCTCGGTCAAGGATGTCCTTCTGAAACTGTCTCTCCCGATGTGCTTTTCTCACATGAACCAGGAGACTTCTATATTAGCTGGCCTGTCAGCAGTGTTTGCTTTCGATGGAAAGATCACGATACTGGCAATACAAGGCAATCCATGTAATACAGGATACAAGTTACATAAGGGCCAAAAGCCACACGGTCATCTGCAAGAAAATCATTCAACAAAACCCGACACCATTTCCTGATAAAAACTCTCCAGAAACCTAGAGAAGAAGGGAATTTTCTCAGCCTGTTAAAGGACTGCCACCTCCCTAGCCCTCCACTCCTCTTGTTCTTAGTGGGAAAAGACTGGCCCCCACCACCCCACCCCTGTAAGATCAAGAACGGAACAGGAAGGTGCCCTCAGTCTCGCCATTTCTATTCAAACTGTATTAGAGCCCCTATCCAGGGAAATCCAGCAAGAAAGGGACATAAAAGGCTTCCAGATGGGAAGAGAAGAAGCAACCAGATCCCTATTTGCAGCTGACATGATCCTGAATATAGAAGTGCTACTGAAAAGTAAAGCAACACCTTGCAGATACAGTCAGCATTCACATGGATGGATCTCAGAATCGGGTTGAATGAAAAAGGCCAGACTCAAATGAGTATCATTCCGCTTTAAGGCTCCATTTATTAACTCTACCAAGGGCAATCTAGATGAGTAGCCTAATTGTGGTTGCCTGAGGGAGGTAAAGGAGTTCTAGTGGGTTACACGTGTTGAACTGCTAACCACAAGGCTAGTGGTTCAAAGCTACCTCCCAACTATGCCCCGGGAGAAAGGTGGGTGTCTCTGTGCCTGGGAAGATTGACTGCCTTAGAAATGCTAAGGAGCAGCTCTAGTCTCCCCTTGAGATCGATCTGAGTCAGAAATACTCAATAGCAGTACTGTTGGGAGGGTGGATTGACTATGAAGATGTCTGAGAGAATTGATCAGGGAGACAGGAAGGTTCTGTGCCTTCACGTCTGTGATAGAGTTCAATGAGTGCTTACCTATGTGCAACTTCATGGCACCCGTTCCTCTAAATGATTAACTTCCATGTAAATTTTTCCAATTACTGGAAAGGAGACAGAGATGTAACTAAGTAACATGTTAAGTCACTGCTCATCCGAGGGCACCGGGACCCTGGCAATGAGGAAACAGCGTCCATCACCATCAACTCAGCAGGGTTGCTCCTTTTTAAACACACTGGAAAAAAGAGTTTGACGTGTATGCAACAACAAGACACAGGAACATAGACGTTATTAAAGAATTGCTGTGAATTTTTAGGTGTTGTAATGAATGGAAGTTATTTTTAAAGTAGCTCTATGTTCTAGAGCAGTGGTTCTCAACCTTGCTAGTGCCGCGACCCTTTAATATAGTTCTTCATGTTGTGGTGACCCGCCAATCATACAATTATGTTCCTTGCTACTTAACCGTAATTTTGCTACTGGTGTGAATCAGGCAACCCCTGTGAAAGGATCGGTCAACCCCCAAAGGCATCGCGACCCACAGGTTGAGAACCACTGTTCTAGAGCTTATGTAATGAAGGATGAAGTTTTATGTGATATTATTACTATAGGGGGAGAGCAACAGAGGTATAGATGAATGAGATTTACTTGAGTTGATAATTACTGAAGTTATGGGTACAAGCTATGGCTGCAATGGTTGGATTATAGATACTGGGAGGATCATTATACTTGTAGTTATGCTAAAAACCTTCAGGATATAACTATACAACAAAAGAAAATAGGGGCAAATAAACGTAAAATATAAATCACAACTGTGAGGGAGGTGAAGGGAGTCAGTGATTGTAGTTACCAAAAAAAACCCAACCAAAACCACACCCTATAGTGTTTCTGAGTCTGTAAATCTTTTAAATTAATTTATTAACTATTCCAAATCATTTTTTTGGTAAAACTTTAGTTTTTATGCCTAAAGGCAAATTTTCCTCTCAGATGATAATCCATATTCTTTTATACTTTCCTTCTGATCTCTTTTTAAAAACTCATGTAATTATTATTTTTTAAATTGTAGCAAGGGTTACAAAACAAGACATTCTCCAATTCAACAACGTCTACATGTATAATACAGTGCCATCGATTAGACTCTTGGTGCTGTACAATCATTATTGACATCCTTTTCCAGTTACTCTGCCACCATGAACATCAACCCAGTGCCTCGAAGCAAAACCTCTTCCTCTTTCACCCGTGGTACCAACTGGCCAAGTGTGGTTTCTTTTTCACTAGTTTTCTTGATATAATATTCACATATCATACCCTTCCGTAGTTATACCGCTTTTAAAAAGAGTTGTATAGACATCACTGCAATCTGTTCTACAGCTCCTTCCCCCTCCCGCATTCATTGTTTGCTCCCCAATTGACCTCACCCGACCCGCTCCCCCAAACCCTTTCGCCAGGAGTTAATTCAGACATATCATTTCATAGTTCAATCATATCAAGCAGTATTGTGCAATCAATACCACAATCAATTTCAAAACCTTTTCTTCCTCCTTGTGCTCGGCGATATCAGCTTCCATTACCACCCCCGCCTCCCCTGCCGTACCCCCGCCTCCCGAGCCGTACCCCTGCCTCCCGTGCCGTACCTCCAGCTCCCCTGCCGTACCCCCA